AAAAAAGGTTCCACACTTCAAATGAAAATGTCTGGTACAGAAGCCTATTGGGTTAAATTTGAAGAAAAAAAGTCATTTTAACGTGTTCACTATAATGTTAAAATTAGGGTTGTCAAACCAGACAAATTTACTAACCGGTTACTCGAAAAATCTTCTGACCGAGTAACCGGTTAATCAGTCAGTTCGGTAATCAAACAATTAACAACAATAACTACAATTTATGTAATGCTTCTCTCATTAACAAAGCAATGACCTAGTTTTAAATGCGTGGAATGAGATTAACAGGTTGTAACGAGATTGCTAATGTAATAAGAAATGCTATGACATTAATTGTTGCATTTACAACATTTCCTTTAAGAAATATTTCCTGGGTAAGAAATATTTGAGGAAAGGTGCCTATCATTATGCATGTATTCCTGATATGAAAATTTTACTCGGGTGGGGTCAGAACCTGCCCCAAATCCTCTGGTAAAATTTCCCTTTTCCCCATAACCGAATAGGCCATATTAGTTATTTGCCAATGTCTGATTTTATGGACATCCTGTGATAGGAGACTGTATCGAATGGCCCCAAATGCTGGTTTTCTAATTATAGGCTAATTATGAATAAATAAATAAATAAATGAAAAATAACTATAAACACTGTGCCTTTCGTCTCCTTACTCAATTTTAGCGGCTGAATTTCATGACTGATCAGACAATTACAGTTGGCCATTTTGTGTATTTAAGCACGTTCTTAAATATTTAAGCATGCTCCTTACCATTCTCAAATATTGAGCCCGTTCTCAACTTAAAATTTGAGAATGCATACTTAAGAACCTTTGAGATACACTTTTTTTAAGTATATGCTTAAAGTTAAGCATATGCTTAAAGTTAAGAATTGAGAATGGTTTAAGAACCTTTGAGATACACTTTTTTAAGTATATGCTTAAAGTTAAACATATGCTTAAAGTTAAGCACTAAGAATGGGTTTAAGAAGTTTCGAGATTCCGGGGCCAGGCCTTGGTAATAATAGGATTTTATTAATTCAATCCTTACTTATAAGACAACAGTTTCTAATGGCCCGTTCAATATATTTCCTGTTTAGATAATATTTTTATGAAAACTGAACTAAAACAAGATGCAGAATATCTTTATTTTATGATGCATACAGGCAATGAGGTTATATTACTTGACAGCTTGGTTCTGCTGAACAATGAAATTATATTACTTGACAGCTTGGTTCTGCTGATTGTTCATATAAACTCAACCTCTGCAGAGCCTTGGGTTAGACAACATAAACAAGAGAGACCCAGCGGGCCTGTATCGCTCACCTAGATATGTTTAAAATAATTGCTATAAGTAAAGATATAGCACTCCATGGTAGGTGCTGTAAGTACATATAAAATTTCCGAAAGATCCATCCAGCACTTGAGATATAGCGAGAACAAACTTCAAACAGAGCCCCACCCCTAAATAAGGATAAAATCCCTTAACCCAGATGGTTGAAGAAGGATTTTAAAGGTTTACCTCTATTTCTCCTATTTGGCCCCGCCTTTTAGCCCCCTGGGAAACCACATCCACTGCTTATACAAAATTGAGTCCCCTTGGTCAATGGATGCTCCAGACTTAATTAGGATAAAATCCCTTAATCCCTATGGTAGAAGAAGGATTTTAAAGGTTTTACCTCTATTTCCCCTATTGGACCCCGCTCTCTGCCTCCAGGGGGGGGGGTAGACACGCCACTTACACAAAATCGGTTCCCCTTCTACCCAATGATGATTCATACCAAATTTGGACAAAATCCTGTCATTCGTACAGAAGAAGAAGGTATTTGAAAAATTTGCTATGTTTCCCCTATTGGGCCCCACCCTTCTGCCCCCAGGGGGGCCACACTTACTGTTTATACAAAATTGAGTGTTTTAAAGGAAAAGTTGACGGACGGACGACGGACGCTGCGCCATGGCATAAGATCACTTGCCCTTTGGGCAGGTGAGCTAAAAACACCCCTTTGTTTGCAGATTTTTCTGTCACACCCTAAAGGTAGGGGAAGATTCTATTAATTTTTTTTTTCATACATGTGGTCTTAAGATTCATACATACTATTCATGTGAAGGAAAAACAATGAGTTATCATATCATATGGAAATTGATAAAAAGAAATTAACTGTCAGTAAAAATTGAAGTTGTATNCTGTATCAGGCGATTACCAAAAGTGTTAATTACTACATCTGGGTTAGTATAACTCTAAACTGTATTATATCGGCAACATACATATCAATATATAACAACACAACATGCATATAACACACTTGTTTGATAATGTTTGGACGTAAGGGAAAAAAAATAGGCAATGATTTTTAGAGTTAGGAACTAAAAATTCAAGGTAGAGGGTACCATTGCATCAGTTGTAATCACAAAGAAAATTCCTACTTGGAGATTTGAAAAAAAGGCAAGCAAAAGGAGTTTTTCAACAAAATATAATTTACAAAATTGTTCTGATGCAAAAGAAATCAATGAGACCGAGATGGGAATCCTGGACTTCAGATATATATACTATTGCTCTTACTGATTGAGCTACCAACTGGTCAACAGAAGGGTCCTGGCCAATTGTGCTACAGTTATATCCAAACTACATGTAGAGGGAAAAGCTCAATGTAGTGGGACAGGGATCATTAAAACTTAAGATTTCATAAAAATTACAAAGGTAATAACATATTCTGAACTGAAAGTACCCTTTACCTTAACATGAACAGTTCATCATGATATGACACACGATTCAAATAATTACACAATGAACGAAGGACAAGTGAGTATAAAATAAGATATTATGTAGATATTTTTGCATAAAATTGAAAGCACTTACAATTGGTTAATTAAATGTTACTATATATCTTGGACATCATATTTTAAAACTTTCAAGTGGGAAAAAAGGCAATGTGACAAAATCTACCATGAAGCGGTACATAATATACCTACCACACGTTGAATTAATAGTTGTTTGTAAATGAAACATTTGTGAGTAATTGATGTTAAAGGAGGTATAATCCAACATACCTGGTAGATCAATAATGAAACCATGGGAAATAATCTGTTAATAATGGTGAATTAATTGTGATTACACTCACTCCACTTATAAAGGGGGCATAACTCCCTAAAATACTGTCGGATAATGGTTTTTATTCAATCAGTTTAAGCTCTCATAATAACCTTCCTATGTAGTTTGAAATAAATCCATTGACAATAAACAGGGATATGGAGCAGAGACCATTTCAGCAATTGAATAAAGGGGCATACCTTCGTAAATTACATTCAGACAATGGTGGTTATCCAATCATCCAAGTTTTCATGGTAATCAACCTTCCCATGAAGTTTGATATTAATCCATTGAAAATTACTCGGTTTGAAGTTAATCTATTAGAAATTACTCGGTTTGATGTTAATCCATTGAAAATTATTCGGTTTGAAGTTAGTTAATCCATTGAAAGTTACTCGGTTTGAAGCTAATCCATTGAAAATTACTTGAGATATCGAGCAGACACTGTTTCAGCAATTTATTAAAGGGGTATAACTCATTAACTTAGTCGGACAATGGTGGTTATCGAACTTGTCTGAACTATCGTGGTGGACCCCGTGCTTGCCTGTCCACACAATCGACTGCTCACGTGATATCATAATAGGTTCCGTTATTGGACTGGCATATTAAAATGTCTCAAAATTACTTGCAATATATATGACCCCTGTTGACATATTATTGTAACGTGTAATGTTTTAATCTATGCTTTTCTAAGGAAAGAATTAATTTCATTAAAAATAAATGTATCATCTATGTGTAGAGGGACCTGCTGATTTTATATCTCAAAACTGAGGTGGAAACATCTTGAATTGCCATCCAGAAAAGGTACAATCAAGAGAGCTGTAAATTATTCTTAGATGATATCAACTGAAATTCCTGAGATCAGTGTTGATGAAAACATACAATTTTATAATTGAATTGTAAAAACTGCCCTAATCTACAATATTTTATAAAAGATTTTGTAAAGAATATAAATCTACATGTCAGAGTACATTATACATACTTTCTGATTCTGATACTGAGTGATTCTGTATGATAAATTTCCCTGATACACTCGTGGAGTGATTCTGTTTCCCTGATAAACTGGTGGAGTGATGCTGTATGTCAACTCTCCCTGATAAACTGGAGGAGTGATGCTGTATGTCAACTCTCCCTGATATACTAGTGGAGTGATGCTGTATGTCAACCCTCCCTGATACACTCGTGGAGTGATTCTGTTTCCCTGATATACTCGTGGAGTGATGCTGTATGTCAACTCTCCCTGATAAACTGGTGGAGTGATGCTGTATGTCAACTCTCCCTGATATACTAGTGGAGTGATGCTGTATGTCAACCCTCCTTGATATACTCGTGGAGTGATGCTGTATGTCAACTCTTCCTGATATAGCCGTGGAGTGATGCTGTATGTCAACTCTCCCTGATATACTGGTGGAGTGATGCTGTATGTCAACTCTCCCTGATATACTCATGGAGTGATGCTGTAGCTGTAGGGTATGTTAAAACTCTCTGATATACTCGTTGAGTAATGCTGTTCAATCTCCCAGAATAGTTGCATTGGTATTAGTGATTGTTACACTTAATTTGGAAGTACTCATTTATGTTATAAATGCTTGCTATAGATCGTTTCAATGCTAAATGAATTACCAAAATATCATGAAGCATAAAAACATATTGTATATGGATATTATGAGCATGCTAACACAAGTACGTTTACAGTGTTGACGTTTTGAGCTAGAGAGAACCAATACAACAATTAACAAGATCCACAGGATATAAAGATCAGCTAGCTGCTATTCATAACCGTAATGTAAAAAAAATCCACACATTCCCTGCACATATTATTAATCAATAATATTTTTTGGATAAGAAAAAATTGCAAGATTTGAGTGTATTATATAGCCTTATACAATCACAAAATTACATTTATCATTGCCTGCTGACATATTTCATTACACTGATATTATTATCATTGTAAAATTTATGTCAGCAAATGTAGATTTGTAAATCTATCAGTAGATTAATTCATATGTTCTGTTAAGGAAAGCATAGTCCTTTATCTGAGGTCAGCCTGTGTTCCAACACAAAGGTGTACTTTCTTCTTTCTAAATCTAATTCACAACAACAGTAGCCATTTGCTTCTGTTAGCAGACTTAATAGGTTAACAGGTTCCTGTGCTTCACGATATCTTTTCACGACTTTCTTTAGACTGTGTACAAGCCAGCTGATTCTTTCAGGTGGATGAGGTACATAATCTGGGATTCCTTGCCCTTCATAAAACAAAAACAAACAAAAAAATAAAAATAAAAGGACTACATGTATTTACACAATTATAACCCCAAACTTCTGTCTTCCGAGGTTACACAGTAGACAAAAACATTCACTTAAATAAAGGTCAGCAATTTTAAAAACAGGAAAGCTACACGCAACCTACCTACAGGACACCCGTAGACAAGGAGGAAGTTTGTTGGACAGTGGATCATTCTGTCTGTATAAGCATCTGCTGGTATTGGAGAGAATATCTTTGGGCTAGGATCACCTCCAGATCTAGATTCGCTAATTTTGTGTCTTGCTTCACTTTCGTCATCATCTCCAGCACTGCCGTCTCCTCCACCATGCACAGCAGATTCACCTACAACTAATTATGATGGAAAGACCTCTACATAGATATTTACCATCAAGCCTTTCATACCAGTATGACTATTAATCCTTTCACCACTGTAGACCATAATAGACTCATCCAGATCAATGCATGGTAGAGTCTACTAAAGTTACATAGAGGTGAAAGGGTTAAGCAAGAGATACAAAGTTTGAAGTAATTACTGCAGCAGTTCTGGAGCAGTAGAAAATCTCTCGGTCATAATAGAGGTCCACAATTGGCCCCACAATTGAGAACTAAGAAACTGATACAGAACATGTATATCCAGTTTGGAGTCAACATTTGCAGCCATATAGTTTAATGCCTCTGACTTTGTCGGTATGGCCCTGTAAGTGCTTGTTGAATCTTGCAGTGATTTGACCTTCGACTTAATTGTTACCTTGATCTTGGAGGTATGGATTTAAGAATGGTATGTGACACACCATCTTGCACACAATATGACAAGTTGCTGTGAACTTCACGATGCTGATGTGTGTATATATGCCCCAACCTCTTTAGCCTTTTACCAAGGTGGCTGGGGTTTGATTCCCTGATCGGATGTGAAGGTATGAAGTCACCTGCCTGACCACATGTGTGTCCAGTTTCCTCCCATATAAGACCCATAACATCCCAGCCAACAGAAGTGATTAAATAAGTTTTAATAACTTGTTTCATAATTGTTGCAAAATAAATTAAGTTTATATTAACATTTTCAGCCATCTCATTTATATTGAATTGTAAAGGTTCGGTCTAAACAATATGCTTTGCTAGCAGTTCAGAAATTACTGCCGAAATAAGATGCAAGGTAACTGCTATTTACCTTCTATATTTCATTGGAGGTATATTAATAAAATCTATTACCTGTAACTGAGCGAGATCGGGTTATCTCAGTCAAGGGCTAAAATTCAGAAACATTATCCCAACTGAGGCGTAAGCCAAGGTTGGGATGTTACATAATCTTAGTCCGAGACTGAGATAACCCGATCTTGCTCAGTTAGTTTGAAAATAAACTATTCAATTTTGCTAAAGACTACAAGTATTCCATCTGGGGCTTCATATAAAAATGGCCTCTACACTACTTCAGCTACATTTGAATGCTTCTGCGTAAAAATGTAGCCCGTCCTTACAAAGAAGACAACATATTTCAGTGTAGATTATAATTTATCTTCAACATATAAGATTTCTCAACATCAAAATAATACTTTTAACGACAGACAGCATATTTATAATGCAGATTATCAATTTCAAGCTGTTAACGCGTGGATGAATACATTGTAGTGTAAAAATTCTGCAAAATGTCACATAAAGGTACCAGACAGATCGGACGAGATAGAAAAATCTAGCATGGGGTATGACATGGGATATCTTTGTCTTAGGAGCGAGAAAATTAAACTCTTTCCAATGAAACTTTACAGACAGCAGTTAGTATATCATGAAATTATTTTATTTTTTGTTGAGATTCAAATTATTTTCTCTGACTTTGGTTGAGATGTAACATTGGTGATAGGAAATCAAGGTTTTGGTTTGGGTTTACATGGTTGCAAAAAATAAGGTTATAAGGTCATATGAGGAGAGTGGAAGGCAGAAGCTACATAGCTCTTAACTTCCAATGAATATTACTAGTAAAGAGAGCAAAACATCTTTTTGATTTCATATTACATGTATATTGATAGTGGAACTCATATTTCACTGGCAGTACATGCATACAGTGTTTTCAGTTATATTAGGGTACCCAGTAGTACAAACCTTGGAATTCAGCACCTAGATCTACCTGATCTACACGACCGTCAAATCTGCAAGCCTGTAAGATAAAATAACAACAATTATCAATAATTGTAGGCTTAAAGGGCCTGTAGCATTGCACTTACCTAACAAATTAAGAGAGCATCCCATGATTCAAATATTAATAGCTCTTAGAACTTAAGATATAGTGTTTTTAGCTCACCTGGTCTGAAGGACCTAGGTGAGCTTATGCCATACCGCAGCGTCCGTCGTCCGTCGTCCTACGTCCATCGTCCGTCAACTTTACACAACTTGTCATGAACCACTAAGCGGATTTTAACAAAATTTGGTGTGGAGCATCCTTGGGTAAAGAAGAGCCAATTTTGTATAAATGGTGGGTCTGGCCCCCCAGGGGCCTGAGGGGCGGGGTCCGATAGGGGACATATAGCAAATTCTTCTTTAAAATCCTTCTTCTTCTGTAGGAATGAAAGGATTTGGTCCATATTTGGTGTGGAGCATCCTTGGGTAAAGGGAAACCAATTTTGTATAAATGATGGGTCTGGCCCCCCTAGGGGCTGAGGGGCGGGGCCCAATAGGGGAAATATAGCAAATTCTTTAAAATCCTTCTTCTTCTGTAGGAATGAAAGGATTTGTTCCATATTTCGTCTGAAGCATCCTTGGGTAAAGGGGAACCACTTTTGTATAAATGGTGGGTGTGGCCCCCCTGGGACCTGAGGGGCAGGGCCCAATAGGGGAAATAGAGGTTAAACCTTTATAATCCTTCTTCTGCCATAGGGATTAAGGGATTTTATCCTAATTCAGTCTGGAGCATCCTTGGGCAAAAGGGACTCAATTTCGTATAAACAGCAAGTGTGGCCCCCCTGGCGGCAGAAGGGAGGGGCCCAATAGGGGAAATAGAGGTAAATCTTCAAAATCCTTCTTCTTCTGTAGGAATAACAGGATTTTGTCCAAATTTGGTATGAAGCATCCTTGGGTGAAGGGGAACCAATTTTGTATAAACGGTGTGTCTGACCACCCTAGAGGCAGAGAGGTGAAATAGGGGAAATAGAGGTAAAACCTTTCAAATCCTTTTTCTACCATAGGGATTAAGGGATTTTATCCTTATTTAGTCTGATGCATCCTTGGGCCAACGGGACTCAATTTGGTCTCCCAGGGGGCAGAAGGGCGGGGCCCAATAGGAGAAATAGAGGTAAAACCTTTGAAATCCTTCTTCGACCATCAGGATTAAGGGATTTTATCCTTATTTAGTCTGGAGCATCCTTGGGCTAAGGGAACTAAATTTTGTATAATTGGTGGGTATGACCTCCCTAGGGGCATAGTAGTGGGGCTCTGTTTGAAGTTTGTTCTCGGTATATCTCAATTATGCAAGTACTGGATGAATCTTTATGAAATTTCATATGTACTTACAGCACCTACCATGGAGTGCTATATCTTTACTTCATACCAAATATTTTAAACATATTCAGGTGAGCGATACAGGCCCTCTGGGCCTCTTGTTAATAAATACTTCCTTCCTGTTTTCCAAATTTTCAACAGTCCTTGGATATAATCATACCTGGTAACTAGAATACACACATTCTAGGCTAATTTACACATAACCATATCTACATTTATACATAATCATAGCTACATTTACACATAACCATAGCTACATTTATACATAACCATAGCTACATTTATACATAACCATAGCTACATTTACACATAACTATAGCTACATTTACACATAACCATAGCTACATTTACACATAACTATAGCTACATTTACACATAATCATAGCTACATTTATACATACCGGTAACCATAGCTACATTTACACATAATCATAGCTACAGTTACACATAACTATAGCTACATTTACACATAACCTTAGCTACATTTATACATAACCATAGCTACATTTATACATAATCATAGCTACATTTATACATAACTATAGCTACATTTACACATAGCTATAGCTACATTTACACATAACCTTAGCTACATTTACACATAACTATAGCTTCATTTACACATAACCTTAGCTACATTTATACATAATCATATCCACATTTACACATTACCATAGCTACATTTATACATTACCATAGCTACATTTATACATTACCATAGCTACATTTACACATAACCATAGCTACATTTATACATAATCATATCCACATTTACACATAACCATAGCTACATTTATACATAACCACAGCTACATTTATACATAATCATAGCTACATTTATACATAACCACAGCTACATTTACACATAACCATAGCTACATTTATACATTACCATAGCTACATTTACACATAACTATAGCTACATTTATACATAATCATATCCACATTTATACATAATCATAGCTACATTTATACATAACCATATCTACATTTACACATAACTATAGCTACATTTATACATAACCATATCTACATTTACACATAATCATAGCTACATTTACACATAACCATAGCTACATTTATACATAACCATAGCTACATTTATACATAACCATAGCTACATTTATACATAACCATAGCTACATTTATACATAACCATAGCTACATTTATACATAACCATAGCTACATTTATACATAACCATAGCTACATTTATACATAACCATAGCTACATTTATACATAACCATAGCTACATTTATACATAACCATAGCTACATTTATACATAACCATAGCTACATTTATACATAACCATAGCTACATTTACACATAACCATAGCTACATTTATACATACCGGTAACCATAGCTACATTTACACATAACCATAGCTACATTTACACATAACCATATCTACATTTACACATAACTATAGCTACATTTATACATAATCATAGCTACATTTATACATACCGGTAACCATAGCTACATTTATACATAACCATAGCTACATTTATACATAATCATAGCTACATTTATACATAACCATAGCTACATTTATACATAACTATAGCTACATTTACACATAACCATAGCTACAAAGACATAATCATGATTATATTTACACATGATCATACATACATTTACAAGATATACTTTGGGTGTAGATGGGTCTGGAGTTGAAATTATTAGATCTGTAAGTTTGACATATGTACCATCGATGCCTTTCAACATTTGGTGTCCATCAGAAACATATCCATGAGTGGATATGAACCAAAGAAAAGATTTTAAGTCTTTTGTACATAGATGTTCAGCATCTGAAATTGCAATAAAACCTTTATTGATTTAAGAACCTTTCTGTTTTTATGTTAATGTAACTTTGTTTGTATGTATAATATTTAATATTTTACTCTTTTTGTGGGTAGTTGTCAATAATTAAGCAAACATGATAGCTAGCCTTTCCGTCTAGCAGGTATACTAAACATTTCAGTGGTTAACTCATTCACCCCTGAAATTTCATAATGAACTATTCCATCCTTTGATTTAGAAGAGTTCAAATTTGTCTTCAGGGATGAATGAGTTATACTCACTTATGTTCACTGCACCCCTGGAATATGTCATGACAAAATCAATGGCACATTGTTAGCAACTTTACTGGTTTTAGGTAAAAAAACAAAGAGCCTTAATAGCTTATCTGGTATTTTATTTTCAATTCAAAAAATAATATTTAAACTTATCAAATTGTATTAAAAAATCAATGGCACATTGTTAGCAACTTTACTGGTTTTAGGTAAAAAAGCAAAGAGCCTTAATAGCTTATCTGGTATTTTATTTTCAATTCAAAAAATAATATTTAAACCTATCAAATTGTATTACAAAATCAATGGCACATTGTTAGCAACTTTACTGGTTTTAGGTAAAAAAAACGAAGAGCCTTAATAGCTTAATAATCTGGTATTTTATTTTCAATTAAAAAAACCAAAAAAACCTTATCAAATTGTTTGCTATCACCTTGAACATTCAAAAGGAACAAATAATTGTGATACTTAGCCTCAATCTCAAGGTCACATGCATTACAGAACCAATCCCATTCCACTCTTGTCACCAATGTGATTTACCTACCTTTTGCGACTATTTCCATTTGTTTCCTCGTCAAATTTGAGCACTTCAATACAGTAAAGTTGAAAGGAGGTGAAGACAGCATCATTGTCATTACTTTAAGATCTGTTTTAGCACCGGGGAGCTTGTCATTCTCCCAGGGAAACTCAAAGTTACCAATGATGACAGCTAAGTTTCTTGGAGGTTTTGGCTTCAAGATGCTGGTATACTCTCTACAGTATATCATGAAAGTTATGACTGTAGTTATACAAACATCAACCCTATGTTACATATCAATTTATGACAATGGTTTTTAACTGTCCTATAAGCAGCATATTCCACAGTATCAGAACAGATCGGAACAAACAATCTGTAAAGCTTTTCAACACATACAAATTACAAATAACTTTACATATATTGACAATACCACTCGTGTTTATCTAACATATCCAATTGCACAAGTGCATTGCATGAATGGATATATTTCAGGAGGACCCAAATTTTATATACATATCCATTGGTGCAATAAACAAGCAAATCTGACACATCAGCTGAACATGTATGGTATTACTTTTAGTACAAACTTACATTTTTTTCTTTATGTTGATATTGCATATGATATTATCAGCAAAACATTACTCATCATTACCGTATGAAAAACAATGGTGGACAAAACTACACCAAAGACAACAAGAGTAACGCGGGGCGGAACAATATACGCCCGTCGAATGCCACATAGTGTTATATACTTTCTTACATTGAAATAAGATCTGCATCATTCTAAGAGTGGTTAGCTGACATGCTATAAACAAGAGGCCCAGAGGGCCTGTATCGCTCCCCTGGATATCTAAGCAATCATGGCAAAATATTCTCAAAATGAGATCCAACAGGGTATGCCAGACCCCAAGGCCAATCCTTTTAGCATATCTGTATTAAATTTTTCATGCCCAGCAATTTTATGTATGGTTATGGGGTGGGAATCTCAACCGTTTCAAGTTACGACCTAGGGGTTAAGTCTGCAAAGGTGGGGCAGATCCTGGGATCCATTCTAATATCATGACTGCATTAGTCTCTTTATGCCTAACAATTGTATTTAGTTTTGGGGTGGGGATCTTAACCATTTTGAAGTTATGACCCAGGGGTTAAGTCTCCAAGGCTGGGGCAGACCCATCGGCCATCCTGGAAGCATATGTGCATTCATTTCTTTATACTCAGCAATTGTATATATGGTTTTTGGGTGGGGATCTTAACTATTTCCAAACTGTGACTAAGAAACTAGGTCCCTAGGGGTTCAGTCAGACCCCAGGGTCTATTCTAATATCATGACTGTATTCGCCCTTTATGCCCAGCATTTGTATATATAGTTTTGGGGAGGGGATCTCAACCATTTCAAAGTTATGACCAAGGGACTATGTCTCCAAGGGTGGGGCCAGACCCTAGGGCCATCCTGGAAGCAACTGTGCATTCTTCTCTTTATACTCAGCAATTGTATACATGGTTATACTGTGGGGATCTCAACCATTTCCAAGTAATAAACTTTTTTTGGCCCCACCCCTTAGCCCGGGGGGTCAGCAACAAAATATGTACAATTTTGAATCCCTACCTCCCATGAATGCTTCCGACCAAATATGGTCGATATCCATGGCACAGTTCTACAGAAGAAGTCGTTTATAGCAATATAGCCAAATTGCCCCCTTTTGGCCCAGCCCCTCAGCCCTCTGCGGGGTCAGCCCCACCATTTGTACAATTTTGAATCCCCACCACCTAGGGATGCTTCCAGTGAAATATGGTTGATATCCATCTCTTAGTTCCAGAGAAGAAGTCGCTTAAAGCAATTTAGCCAAATTGCCCCCTTTTGGCCCAGCCCCTCAGCCCCCTGGGGGGTCAGCCCCACCATTTGTACAATTTTGAATCCCCACCACCTAGGGATGCTTCCAGTCAAATATGGTTGATATCCAT